TTGACGAGCGCGACGTCTCCCGTGTGCTGTCACAGCGGAGACGAGGATCGGATGAACATCTCTAGCGCTGGAGTGGAGACACTGGAGAATTGTCTAGGATACCCTGCAGGTTTTAGTAAATTCTTTCGAACTTTTTTGTCAGAAAGAAAGGGAGAGAAGTCCTTCACACGCTGTGGCAGTGTTTCTCTGTCGGCCTGGCCCGGCCTGGCTGCCTGGCGGCCCGGTTCTGGTTTGGCCCTGACTCCCTTGCGCGGCACGCGGTCCGCGTGGGCGGGGGCCGGCCGGGCCGTCCCTCCGCGACACTGGCGGGCCGATGCGGGCCAGGCCAATGCCAGGCAGTGGCAGGGCGGGCCGAGGGGCGGGCCGAGGGGCAGGCAATGCCTGGCAAGCCTGGCCGCCCGGCCGGTACTGCACGGACCGGTCGCGGGGCTGCGGCGCGGGCGGGTCGCTGCCGGCGACAACGGTGTCACCGCCAGCCCGCCAGCCCGCCACTCCTCCTCCTTCCTCTTCTCGGCCGGGCCGAGGCCCGGGCCCTGGGTCAACAGGTTGCGGCGCGCGAAGCCGTTTTCGCCGCGCCAAAAGACTCCCAGACGAGAACGGCGTTGCAATGTCTCTGGGACTCGCATCGGCCAGGATGTGGCGGGAGGACGTGCTTGTTTGCGTCTGCGTGTAGTTCGGAATGAGTTTCGGGAAAGCGATTGGTTGTCATTACATGTCGCGGCACCAACGCCGTCCTGGGAGGACCGCCTCGCGGCTTGCTCCTAGTGCACGTCGACGAGGTCCTTCGCGTCGACGGCGCCCTCCGCCCGCCCGGACGACGTCCTCGGCGGAACGGTCCTGGTCCAATCCGCGCGCAATACTTCTACGCCGCCGCCGCCGACCACACACACACACTCGCGCCTGACGTCAGCGGCGTCAGCCCAGGTTACGCCATGCCCGCCAAGTGGTTCATCTGCGCGCCGCATGCAGCAGTGTGACGAGGTGAAGGGACACAGACACACACACTCGCGCGCGCGCGCGCGCACACACACACACACACACACACACACACACACACACACAGCGCGCCTCTCACGCACGGGCCCTGGCCGACAGGCCCTGCTGCCCTGCCCACCTCCCTCTGTGCCATTTCTAAGCGCGCTTAGTTAGTCGCTCGGCCGCGACGACGCGCTCCTCCGCTGCTTTGTCGGACACAGAGCGGTTTCGTCGCTCTGTCTCTCTCGCGCCCCCACAGGCTGCCCCGTTAGCGTGTAAGAGAGAGAGAGAGAGAGAGAGAGAGAGAGCGAGCGAGCGAGCGCTGTTGAGCGGGCAGTGTGACCCGCAGGACGGAGCGCCTGTGAAGTGGAGGGCGGGCCGCCCCGCAAGGCGTGCCTGCGTGGCGGGCGGGCCTACACTGCCGTCCGCAGGCGCTAGCCCGCCTGCATCCTGCGACGTGCGACGTGTTGACACAGCCGCGCTTCTGGACACTTCCCGCACACTCCGAGGTTCGTGTTCGGCGCTCTGTCTCTCTCGCACTCAGGGAGTACTCCATGGGGGTGCGAGAGAGACAGGGCGACGAGAGCGCCTCTCGTGCTGACTTTTCTGGCTCGGCCCGGACCGAGGTCCGGACCGAGGCCCGGACGCCCCACTTGGGTCGGCGTCGGCCCGATAATTGGAGCGAGACTCGCTGAAATAGGAAGCGTGTTTTTGTTATCGGCGGTGCAGGTGGTTCAGGCCCCGCCGCGTCCCGCCGCGTCACTGCCGTCGTGGATACCGGCCGTTCTTTCGCGCTCCTTCCTTTTGTCTCTCTGTCTTGCTCTCTAATTGCTGGCTGGCCGCCTGGAGAGGCTGGAGCCGGGCTGGGGCCGGGCTGGAGAGGCACTGATGGGTCGGGACGGGTGTCGGACGGGGCGGGGCGGGGCGCGGGGCCGAGTATCAGAGAAAGCCTCGCAGGCGCGGCTCGGCTAAAGTTTGGCTCCAGTTTGGCCGCCCGTTTGGCTGCCAATGACTCCAGCGGGCTGCTGGGCTCCGGTTCGTCCGTCACCGCCTCCAGTCCAGTGTCCGCCAAGGCGAGCAGCGCGTCGACGGGTAACGCGGCCACGCGGCAACGCGGCGCGCTCGCGACAGTAAATAACCCGCCGATATGTCGATACTGCGCCCGCGGCTGTGCGGCCCGCCCTCGCCGCCTCGCCGCCCGATCGGCCAATATTTCACCAGCCGCCTCGCCCCGCCCCGTTGTTTCGCGTGGCCTGCCCAGGCATGCCCAGGCCGGGCGTTCGCGTGCCCCGCGGCGTCGCGGCGTCCTTGGCGGTGTGGGAACGCGAACGTGTCGCCAGCCCACGCGGTCTACCGTTCGGTACAGGCACCGCCCTTGGAGCGGACCGATGGCAACGGTCATTTCGTGGCGCTGTCTCGGTCGCACTCAAAGGGCGCCCCTTACGGTGCGAGAGAGACAGCGACGAAACGACTGTTCGGAGTCGCCTGTGCCTCGACCAGCGCACACGCCACTCGGCTGCCGCGACCCTCGCGCCCAGCCCCAGCGTAGTCCGGCACGGCTACACTGGACAATGCGGTGCGGTGGCCACGCTGTCCCACCAGTTTTGGCCGTGAACGCGTCACTTCGTTAGTCGGTGCTAAGCTGCAGCGTTTCAAGTCATTCCCAGCAGTGACGCTTCCGGCCGACACTGGTAAACGCTGACAACCCGCCTGTCGGTGCGACGCGGGGCGACGCGGGGCGACGCGCTCTCTCTCGCACTCAATCGCGAACGGCTAATGGCTTTCCCAGCCACTGCCCGCCAGACTGCCAGCCACCCGCAGTCGCGAGGCGAGGCGGCGACCCGCATGCTGGAGTCGCGTCGCCCCAGTCCTGTCCTACAAGGCGCGCATGGCCGGAGGAAAAAATAAAAAGGACGGCGCTGGTATTTGAACCCGCGCCGTGCCGCAGAGCGAGGAGCTCTCAGCCTGGCGCAGCGCGCAGCCTGGTTTCCCCGCGCGGTCTTTTCGCCCTTTCGCCTCGCGGTGCCTCGCGCTCCCTCGCGGCCTCACGGAGTCGTGCCGGCCGCGGCCAGGGGCCCAGGCCGCCCAGGCCCAGCCCCAGCCAGTCTCACCCACACGATCACGCCGCCAAAGTGGCCCAGATCGACCGGAAACGGGAGGAAGAAAGGAAAAAAGGGGGGAAAAGGAGAAGAGGCAAACGGAACCGGAAAGAAAGAGCTCGCCGATGTGCTCGGCCGTCGTCGTGATCGCCGTGCGAATGGATGGAAGTGCTTCCTCTTCTTCAGGCGTCGCGTCTAATTGTTGTGGATGGCTCCAGCGCGCCACCGCCTCGGCGCCTCGGCATGCTCGAGCACCGCGATGACGGGGGCACCACAAAAAGAGTCTCGGATCCGCACGGTCTGGTGGCACGCAGCCCTCGCCGTTGTGCCCTTGGCTGCGCCCCGTTTCTATCTTTGCACGAGTTCGACGCGAGACTGCGGCAAATCCTTTTCATCATTTTCCGTCCGAAGTTTCCTGGTTGTGTTGGCAGGGGCGTTGCTGCCCGCCCCGCTCCACACAGTGTCCACACAGTGTCCACACAGTGTCCGCACGGCGCACTCATCCCTCCCCGACGGCATCGCGATGGCCCAGCCGTGAAGATGGAACGGGCGCGTATTTCCATTTTGTACTTGGTTGGGCAAACGGGGCGGGCCTTTGGGCGGGCCAGGTTGTCTCGCGGCCGCTCCGCCTTGGCGCGCGTGCGGGCCAATCAAAGCGTCGCCCTGCGTCGCCCTGCGCCGCCCCACCCAGCACGGAATGGCTCCAGACAAGCTGACGACCGCGGAACCGCCACCGCGTTTCCGCCCGCCGCGCTGGTGGCGCTGGTGCAAGAGTCGCGGCCGAGTGGCCGGTGGCGCGTCACCGGCACGGCGGCACCAGAGCCCTCTGCGAAACACGCGAATACCAAAGTAGTTCGGTAGCCGCTTTTTTCCCCCTCGCTGTTTTTCCTGCGCCAATTCGCACAACACAACGCCTTGGCGTCCCGTTCGTCGGAGACTGGCGGGCCAATAGCTTTGGATCGGCACCGCGGCGGCGCCGTGTCACGACCTTATACGGCGCGTCGCGGGGCGGGGCGGGGCGGGGCGGGGCGGGGCGGGGCGGGGCGGCGGGCCGTCCACTTAAGTTTTGACGCCTATCACGGGACCGCGACCAGGCTGCGCCAGGCTGGGCTAGGCGGGCCAGGCCAGGCTACACTGCCAAACTGCAGGCCGGCCCGGAATGCCGCCACTCCGCGCCACTCACCGACCGCGACCGGTCCCCGGCGGGTCCCCGGCAGGTCCCCGGACGTCGTGAGACAAACGCGCGCACCAATGGCAGGCACAGGAAAAAAAGGAAATCCTTTATGTAAAAATGACTCATTTCACGACGCTTTGGCGTACTCGGATGTTTTACCGTAGCTGTCGCGGTATTTTCAAGTTCTTTATTTGGTTTGTTTGCTTCCCAAAAAGCTGTGAGGCTGAAAGTGCGTGCCCGCATCCAGGTAGTCGGTGACATTTCGAGTAGAATCGCACCCCTATGGCACCTATGATGGCACCTCCACAGTCAAAAAACAGAAACAGGACGACCGTCACAGAAACCTTCAAGGGTTCTAAGGCCCCGCTCGAGGAGCACTGACTGGGTCGCAGACTTTTTGGCCCAGCCTGCAACCTCGGGCCTGGCTGGGGTCCTTTCCGCGCTCCTCGTATCTGGGCCGCAGTACAGCCGCAGCCGCGGGGAATTCCTTCGGAAAGTCGCTTTGCAGGTAGAAGTAGATTAGAGCGGTGCACAAAATTGTTTAGCACGTAACAGGTAAGCGCGCGTTATCAAGGCGCGCCATGCCCTACCACACACACACACGGCCTGGTACCTGCATGTCTGTGTGTGTGTGTGTGTGTGTGTGTGTGTGTGTGTGTGTGTGTGTGTGTGTGTGTGTGTGACGATAGCGTGCGGGCCTACCCGCAGGTGACGCGTGATAGCGGCCCTGTCGCGTTGCGGTGTGCCGGGTTGCGCCGCGTTGTCCTGTCACTGTGGCGGTGTGGCGGTGTGTGTCAGTGTGCGGCCGTGTCTGGCGGGCGCTACAGGCGGCGGCCCGGACGCTCGAGGTGACAGTGGTGCGACGCGGCTTGTCCTGAGGGTCCTGCACGACGCGAGTCAGGACGAGCAGTGTGTGTGACCGAGACAAGGACAAGGGCAAGGGCGAGACAAGATGAGCCCCGTGCGCCGCCTCGTGGACGACGGCATCCAGGTGGCGCTCAACTACGCCGTCCCCGTGGCCAAGCGGCTGCGGTTCGCCCTGACCGACGCGCAGGTACTGCCCGGCGAGCGAGAGCAGCGTGCGCTTCGTGGAGAGGCCGCGTGCCTGTCGTCACTGTTCGCCCCGCCAGTCGGTGGTCGGTTCGGTTCGGTTCGGTTCGGTTCGGTTCGGGTGGTTCTGGAGGCACCGGCGTCGCTTCCGCGAGGGCCTCGTCCAGCCTCGTCCAGCCATACGGCACCCCATTGCATTGCATCACGGCGGCTCGTTGATGGCTACCGTGCCGTGCCGTGCCGTGCCGTGCCGCACGCGTGCCGCTGCCATCATGCCGGGTGACAATATACGACACGCGTGCAGCTTGCGTCACTTGGGACCGGACCGGACTGGGCCCACCGGTCCGAACGCGTGTCCGGCGCGTCGCTCGCGTGAAATCGGGAAATCGGCGCCGCAGCGCGCGGCTTTCCGCTTTCGGCTTTTCGAACGCCTGGCCCGAGCGACGAAAGCCGAGAGCCGAAAGCCCGGCCGGCGATTCCGGCGCTGTCAGAAAGCCGGCACTCGTGTAAATCTTCTCAGAATGTCAGAAACCTGTCTGAAAAACTGATTAAAAGTCACGCACCTCTGAAAGCCAAAAACACCTCCCATTATTCCGAAGAACTCAAACCATCAGTATCAGAGTAATTTTTCAGAATTTCAGCTTTCAGAAGTGCGCGAATTTTGATCAGGATTTCAGACATGTTTCTGACATTCTGACAAAATTTACACGAGTGGGGCCAGGTGTGCAGGTTCGCGTCGCATACACAGTACGAGTACGTGTCAGTGTGCGAAAAAAAGTGGCCGATTCAAACGAGAGCGCGCACTGTAAGTGAAAAGGCGAAACCTCTCACTTTTTTTTCGAACGCACGGTTTGCCCCGCCGCGTCTCACTTCACTTTTCGACTTACAGTGTACGAATTTATGGGCGAAGTCGAGAAGTCGCACGATCCGCCCGAATGCGTGATCGTGATGCCCACTCGTGTCGTTCGTATTGTTTTTCCTAGTACTTTGCGTGCGAAACGAACGCACGCATTCGTCGTCGCAGGAATCGTTGTGCGGCCGTTGTGCAGTGCGGCCGTGACGCTGAATGAGTTTCTGTCTCCGTCACTCTGCATGCGCCATGCGCCCCCAGGCCCTCGGCCAGGCTGAATCACGCTTCGCGGCGTCGCGGCGTCGCGCGAGGCGGCCGCATGACGCGCCCTTTCGCGGCGGCCGAGGCGGCCCTCCAATTGGCGGACGTCACAGAACTCGAACCAGTGATTCTGTCGCCGCCGCCGCGTCTCGCTCGCACTCAAGGGGCGTCCCTCCGGGGTGCGAGAGAGAGAGAGAGAGAGAGAGAGAGAGAGAGAGAGAGAGAGAGAGAGAGAGAGAGAGAGAGAGAGGCGGCTGCACCGCGTCACCGCAAGAGCACGCCACCGAATTAAAGAGGCCCGCGGGAAACAAAAGGAAGGCAGATTACGGGGGCTTATCGGGCTGGCCGGGCCGGGCGGCGCGGAGCGGAGCGGCGCGGAGCCATCACGGCGGTCATCTCGCGTCGCTTCTCATGCCGCTCCGCCCCGTCCGCCCCGATGCGCCGATTATCGGCTAAACGATCTGCGTTTCCTCCTCCGCCGCGTTCCCGGCAGCAAAGTGCGCCAAAATGCAGGCGGGAGCGAAAAAAGGCTGACGGCGTGGTCTCGGTGCGCCTGGCCCGGCCTGGCCCGGCCTGGCCCGGCCTGGCCTGACGGCTAATAGGCTTTCGTTCGGTGCGGCTAGGACTCTAGGCGCTGAGTGCTTTGATAAGGCTCGGAATCCACACGCCGCGGCGGGGCGGCGCGGGGCGGGGCGGGGCGGGGCGGCGCGGGGCGGGGGGGGCGGGGCGGGGCAAATATTGCAACAGCGACGTGTAGCGGCCGGGGCCGGGCACAGAGGCGCAGCGAGGCGCGAGGCGCAGCCACACTGCCCGCGGGACTCGGTACGCGCAATAATTCCCGCTTTTTCCGGAGTCCCTCTCTACGATTTCGTAGCTCTGTCTCCCTCGCACTCGTGGGGCGTTCCGCCGGTTCCGCGCAGGCTTGTGCGAGTGCGAGAGAGACGGAGCGACGCGAGGCGCTGTTCGGCTCGAACTACACACTGCACGCATGCCTGCGAGTGGCGGGATAACAATTCAATTATTATTGATGCTGGTGAGTGTGTGTGCGTGTGTGGAGGGGCCAGGCAAGGCGGACAGGGGAGCCTTCGAGGGAAAGACACACCACACGCCTCCCATTCCCATTGTGGCTGCCTGCCGGCCTGCCGGCCTGCCGTCCGCGGACTCTTGTCTGTTGCTGCACGCCCATTTGCCTCCCCCGCGACTCCGCGAGCGGCAGCGGCAGCCAGCTGTCCGCGCTGCGCCGCCGTGCGCCGTGGCGCATTGTGCCATGAGAAACATGAATTATGGAGAGGAGAGGGGAGGGGTGATAAAATTCTGAAAGCAATACTTGCGACAGGCAGCATGGCAGCGCGGCGCGAGCCGCAGCGTGCAACACGGACTGGTTGACCCGCGGCGCAGTCATTTGGAAACTTGGAAAGTAATATCAATTAAGGAGTCTAGATTAGGTTATTGCACTCTCGTTGCGGTTTCGACGACACTTGGCGCGTCCGCTGTCAGGCGAACAGAGATTAGAAATGAAGTAAAAACGTAAACTGGTCCCCCGCTCTCTCCCCCGTCCGAGATCCTTGGTCCTGCGCCCACCCAGCCTGCCAGGCTGGCCCACGGTGTCCAAGGCCTCGCACCTCGCGACCAAGTCCATGTCCATCCGCGTCGCTGGCTTGCTGCCTTATAGGGACCGCGGGGACCTCTGCTCGGCGAGGACTCGGCGAAGACGTGGTGGCTGCGCAGCGCTGCGGAGCGCTGCGGAGTGTCTCGGGGCGGTGTGAAAAACTCGGGGGCGGGGTGAAGGACGCGGGGTGACGCGGCGACCACGCGACGAACGCCGCGCCAAAACTGCAAAAAATAAAATCTCTTTTTTTTTTGCACCACGGTGGAAGCTGCTCGATGAGTGTCAATACCGCGCATTGTTAGCGAAGGAAGCTTACGAAAGCCAGGGTGCACACTGATAGCACAGGATTACGCTGCATGACTCGGACGTAAGCAATTCATCGAACGGGCTGCCTGCCGCTTTTTATTGCGTTTCTTCGTCCGTTGCGCCCGTTGCATTTCGGTTCTGCGACCCAACTCGTCGTCTCCACCGTGACAGCAAGGACCCAGTCCGGCACCTCCCTTCGCTTTCGCATGCGTAGCTGGAGTCGCACCCAGCCCGCCGACTCGTTCGGTCTCCCAGCCCATCCCGCCCCAAGGCCCGCCCACTCCCCAGAGAACGGCTACACCGTGTTAGTCTCACCGACAGCACTCGATACTCGATGCGAAAATTACGAGTCGGCCTCCACGTCGGCGACACCCTCTACGCCCACCGGCCCGGGGGCCTCCGCGCCGACAGGCCGACAGGTGGCACTGGTCGGCCGCTGTGTGCTGTCCGTGCTGTCTGGGTGTACGGCCCGCGCCATGCGATGCTGTCGCGATCCTGACGGATGGCTCGCGTCGCGCGTCGCGACGGCGAGGTGCGCTTCAAGCAGCCAGCCGGGCGCTCGGCCCGAAATGGCATACGATCATGTGTGGTCTAGCCCTTAATGGTAATGGTAATGGCGGGTAGGCAGCCGGTTCCGTACCGCACACAGCCGCGCGCCGGGCGGCCTACTCTACAGGCGCTCCGAGGCTCGACTTGTCCAAGCGGGAACACTTGGCACAGTGCAGGCACCCGACTGCTGCCGCGATGGCTCTCCATCTCCACACCCGCCCTGACGGCCCCTCCTCTTCCCCTGTTGCAGGTTGACCGCGAGATGGCCGCCCTGCGCCGCGAGCTGGACGAGAGCCGCGCGGCGCTGAAGCTGCAGACGGCGCGGTGCCGGCAGCTGGTGGCGGCGTACTCGGCCAGGCTCAAGGCGGGCAACGATCTGCGCGACCACCAGCTCGCCCTGGTGCTGCGCGCGCTGGTGGCGCTGGAGGCGCGGCTGCGGCGCGAGCAGAAGGCCATCCGGTCGCAGCTGGCGCAGCGCGACGCCATCATCCACCAGCAGCAGGTGGAGATCTCCCGGTTGCGCGGCGCGCACGCGGCGCCCTCCGCGGCCTTCTCGCCGCCGCACCCCGCGGCCAGGACCGGCGCCGCGCCCTCCACGCCCGCCACGCCCTCGCAGCTCATCGTGGAGAACCACACGTGCGGCCAGGACTCGGCGTGCGTGCAGGCGCACGAGACCGTGGTGGACGCCATGAGCCACCTGAGGCACCAGGAGGCGGCGCTGCGGGTGCTGGAGCTGGTGGGGCCGCCCCCCGGCCCCACTGGCTTCCCCGGCCTCGGCAGCCTCGGCACGGCGACGCGCGGGCCGCCGGCAACCACCGTGCTGCCGCTGCTCAACGGCGAGACGGCCTGCATCGTGGAGCCGCCCGCCGACTTCATCGAGGACAACATGGCGGTCACGCCGCCCCCCGACGTGGTGGCCAGCTACAACGACATGAACAGGGAGTGCCTGGAGCTGGCCAGCATGGCGGCGTCCCTCAGGAGCGCCGACAAGGACAAGGCTGTCTGCTTCCAGGTAACCAGAACATGACGTTGCGATCGTTGGCACGGTATTTCGTTTATGACGTGATTGTTGTGGCTCTTAACCTAACCCAACCTTACGAATTTATACCGTTTGGTGTGTCGCAGGACAACCCCGTGCTGGAGTGCGTCAACCTCATCCTGCTCCGCGACCAGGAGGACTTCCAGGAAGAGCGTCGCGGCCGGCACCGAGAGCGCGGGCCCGAGTCGGCGCGTTTGCGCCGCGGACGCCGCTCCGTGGAGGAGTCACCGCCGCCGCCGCCCTCAAGCGAGCCGCCCTCAAGCGAGCCGCCCGCCTGGTACAACAGCACCGGCAGCGCCGCCAAGGACGTCGCCAGGGAGGCGCCGCGCCGCCCCACGCCGCCCGCGCTGCCGCCCAAGCCACCCCGCCTCGTGGCCCAGCGCCCTACCAGGGCCACCAAGTCACCCACGCCCACCAAAGACGCCAAGGACGACGACCCCAGGACCGTGCCCTCCATCCCCACGACGCCGCCGCCAGCCTCACCCGCACCCTCCAGCCCGACGACAGCCACCGTGGTCTCCGCCACGACCCCCTCCTCGGACCTGGAGGAATCCAGTGACGCGCTCAGGCGGAATTTCGAGGAATTCAACCTGGACGACTGTGACATCGAAGGCCTGGGCGAGACGGACACCCCTGCGGTGGAGACTGAGGCCGACACCAAGGCCGAGGCCAACGGCGACGGCAGGCCGAGGCTCGAGGGCGACGGCGCGGAGAGCCTCAAACTGAATGGCCACGGCCCCGTCCCCGTCCCCGGCCCGGGACACGTCCTGCAGGACGCCCCGGACGCGCTGCCCCTACTGACGGCGCCGGCCGAGGCCCCGTCGCCGCTATCTGCCAGCGCCAACGGCCTCGCCGTCAACCTCGGCCCCGTGCTGGCGGGCACGCTGGCGCAGCAGTTGGCCCAGCTCGCACCCCTCGCCCCCAACTCCCTAGCCAACTACGACACGTTCCTGGAGGCGACGGGGCTGAGCAACAAGTCCATCCTGACGCCCAGCCGCATGCTGAGCAACCACCGCAGCGTGCTCAAGCCCAAGGACGTGAAGCACCGCAGCAGGGTGAAGGCTGGCGAGCGCTGCGCCGGCCCGTCCTGCGCCACCGGCCCCACCGTCAAGTACTGGACGGAGCCCTTCCTGTAGCGCCTCGCCTCATGCTCGCCTCGCGTAGCGTAGCGTAGCGTACCGTAGCGTCGCGGCCTCAGGGCCTCGCTCGCTCGGGGCTTTACCGCGCCGCGACTAACCCCCTTGCTGTCGCTAAATCCCAGACGCAGTGTTAACCATGAAACTTGCTTTAAATTCAATTTGTCGTACATACTAATGTTGTCTGAACCCAAGTGTGACTCAAAATTGAAATGTTAACTTGTTGAACGGCGTCATGATGATGATGAGCCCTAGCGCGTCGAGCTGGTGCACGTTGGGATGCCTATCCCCGAGGCGGGCTGTCGAGTCTCGTAACACACCAAACGAAGATTCCACTTCGAGACAAGGACGGGCGACGCGTCAAGTGCTGTGCCGTGAAAGGTTTATTTTTGTTTTTTGTTCTGTTTGTTTTGTTGATTTTTTTTTTGTGAGGGAAAATTTTTGCTAAAACAATTTTGTTTCTAATTTGTCAGAGTTTGTGGTAAGGTGCTATGTACAAGATGTAATGTTTAGCTTTAGTCTAGTTACTTTCTTATGGACGGCATACCATGTATTTTAGTCACGTCCATGGACATTTGTTTGAATCTTAACTGTAAAAGGATATTAAAAATAAACTTAAAATGTTACTGTTTTTCAATTGCTAGTTTCTTTATTTCTTCCCACAAGTTAACACGTATGTAGCGCGAGCTCAGGTTCCTGACAATAAAATGAACATATTTACTAATGGTTGTTGCAAGCCATTTGCCTTTGACTTGTGCTAGTGACACCTCTGTGCCAAGTTTTGTTGAACAAACTTTACTAAATTTTAGCTGGCTTTTATTTTCATGAGAAATTGTCCTAGAGGAATATGCACATCTTCACGGATTTAGAGGTGGTTCCAGTGGAGGTACTGGAGGCAATGGTTTAAGAAAAACAATGATGTAATGAAAAAGTTTATTGGGTAAATGTAATCATTGTAAAGCAATAGTTTAGTATCAGCTTATTATATAAATATAATAAAACAAACATTTAAGGACAAAAGTACACAGGTAATGTAGGATGCAGATAATACACATGCGGTAACACAGTAAACACGACATGCATTCTATAGAAGGTTGCTGAATTTCAGATTTCATGGCCAGTAGAATGGTTTCTGATCCAATCTGACTCCACAATTTGTCATGACAAACAGGATGATTATTTTCACATCAAAAGTTATCATTGAATATGATTGTCTTCACACAATGCTACAAATACTGAACTAAGACACGAATGATATACAACAATAGATAGTCTTTATTGGCAAGTATGTTGCACAATGGTGTGAACTAAGGCAGTAAATTTTCCCTCTTTTGACAACACTTAAATTTTCACATTACATGTTTTGTTTCTTTAAATCGAATTTGCTAAAAATTTTAAGACCAATATTTTGTTTAATTTGAGTGAACAAACCTGAAGAGTTCAATAATGTATGAAATGTACTTTGTAAATGCAATTCAAGTATTCAACACAACAAGCAAGGACATACAGACTGAACCAGCAGGCCGCCGCGTCTCGCAACTTCTTTCCAAAACTTGATGTAGACATTGTCACTTTTAAATGTTCCTCAACTAAACATGTTTTCCAACAACAGTTCATTATCCTAATGGTTCATTGCATCAGAAATGCAAAACGAAAAATAAGATGATAAATACAAAATTTCTACAGAACAATAGCAATTTGTAAAACAAAAAAATTGAAACTATACGCCTCTGAATAAACGCATAGCTGCACCGTAATTAGTTAAGTAGGTCAAAAAATAGGGCAACTAAGACCTCCAGAAGTCATTAAGGCTGCCTTTTATTTTTGAAATCACATTTAAAAATAAGTGCACAACAAATTTAGAGACGTAGACCTCTCAGTAGGAGGCAAGGGGACATCAACCCTGTGTGCATCATATAAAGTTTTGACATTGTAACATTAAACATCATATACACAATTTCATCACAATCAGCTAAGACATTTATCTGTACATAACACATAGAATTCTGGCAATAACCATAAAATTTTTATTTATAATAACCATTATTGCTAATATCATGAGCCAAAGTGGCCACCCAATAGGCCAACCAAAATAGACAGAAGTATAAAATATTGCTAATACAGATGGCAAGAAGTTTATGAGAAGTAGAAAAGAGGAAGACCTGTAGATGCAAAAGCTAACAGACTCCATGTTTTCATTCAACAGTGAAATAGAATAACAGTAAAATTGTAAAATATCAAGGTACAATTCAAAAATATTTACTTACGATAGAAATTACAGCCCGAGTCAGCCACTATTAAGAGGGACGGCGTAAGAGGAAGGCATGGGGCCAGAACATTAATTTCAGTTTCAGACCACAAAATGTAGTATGAAGGGCAAGGCACAAAACTGAGCATGCCTGCACACGCTCTAGAGCCATGCATGCAATTTAATTAAGACAATTTTAGCTTAAACTGATGCTGTGCTGGCTATTTAATCATCACATTCTTTTTATAAAAGAAAAACTTAACAGCAAACTCTACAATCTAAGATATAGTAAGAAATTAAATTATAATAATTAATCATCATAAAAGGTTTCATAGTTCTATTAGCATTTACATTTGTCACAGTGAAAGAGTTCATTCAAATGTTTGGAAGGTACTGCACCGTAGCCAACCTAATGGAGAAACTCGGCACATGAGGTTTTAACAGGGTCATTTCTCTTCTGACTGAACAGGCAGCAAACCCTCTTGCAAACAGTGAGTTTATCTATAAACAGCAGTTTATCTCGTCTTTTTCAAGGTCACACTTAAAATCACAAAAAAGGCAGAAGACAGCGATGAATCTTCTCCACAATAAATACTGAACTAAGGAACTTTAAATGTTGTTTCCTTGGAGAAAGGGTAGAAATGCAAGACCGAAATTTTAAAATGACAAAATTTTTGGAAGAATTTATTGGTAAGATTGTAAAAAGGCGAAATGAGTTGTCTATGAACATTAAATGGAACTCACAACTGCTTCTTAAAGCCATGGCTGAGTACTTTCTAATTCCTACTGAACGCGCTAGATAGCCTACACATTAAAAATGGACGGCAGTTCATGATTTCAATACTAGTTGCCAAAATTGATGAGGCTTAATAAATATTAGAAGAATGCAACTGGTGTAGCAGAAAAGTTAGGCTTAAATGCATGCCACCTTATAACGTTGAACAAAAACGTCAATTAATCACAGGTATTTGATAACTTGAAGCCAAGATTCAAACAAATAATTGCATGATTGATAAACTCATAAAATATCACAAAAAGTTCTATTATTCTTAACCAGTTCATTCAATCAACTGCAACCAGGCTGATTTCGTCTCCAGCAGCCCTTTTCACATATAAAGAAAAAGAAACATAAATTTTAGTTTTCAACTTTGCAGAAAACAGATCAAATTGAGAAAATTCAAACACAATAAAAAGATTAAAACCAATACGTAGAAATAAATCGGTCATGTCAGGGTTTGAGAGGTATAGAGCATTGAAAGGGTGCGGAGACAACAGTTGAATGAATAACTGCTGAAGGAGGGGTATCAACTGCGACAACGTCCGCTGCTACTTTGTCAGCGGAGGACACAGTTTGATTAGCCCACCATAGTATTGTCAAAGATCTCGGAACAAGCTAAACTACATAAAAGCTCGTCCTGGACAAAGATTACAAGGCATCAAATTTTACAGATGGGTTCACACAACCATTTTTCTTTTGTTAATAGAGAATGTGCCCAAATTGTGCGTTACAACATGGCATAAACTTGCTTCACACTTCTAAAATATAAATCAATCATAAATCAATCATGCCAGGCCTGAAAAATTACAATAGAAGTCGCATATGCCTGTTCAACAAGGTAGACCACAGTATTTGAAATAAATATTGTATCAATATGAAGTTGTTAAAAAAATAAATTGTTCATTGATTCTTAAAAAAAAAAAAAAAACACATCTCAAATCATAACAGTCAACAGAAGAAATCCATTCAAAACTATGCATACCATAGAAGTGCATTCATAAAAGGGTGACATGCAAATAGCCAATATCCAACAAGGCAGCAAGAGAAGCAACTCAAAATTGAATTGTGTGGATGTGCGATCAGTAGTATGACAGCAAAAAATAAATATAATAGACTGGAAAACAATGAAAACCATTTAGAACTTTAAAGACGTAGCTACCTCATTGTGACAATGAAAATACAAGACCAAAGGGCAGTACTGATTGACACAGGTAAAATTGAGTTGCTTTCTCTGCTTAACATAGAACTCAAACATAGCTTTGTCTTGGATGCAAGTTGGGATCTTAATATGTATTCCTTTGTATTTTAACTAAAAATCTTTATAAAAAGTCAACATCCATATACAATAATATTATTATTAATTATATAGTTCATCAAAGAGATATCCAACATAAGTAAAAAATATTTAAACCTGCTCTTAACGTAAGTGTTCAAATTAAAGACAGTCATTTGCTCATTTAAGACCAAAATTGTAAAAGAATATCAAATTATTTTTCTTCAAACTATTTCACCATTCATACGAACATTAATACTAATACATAAAACAGCAACAAGCAAAGTCAAAATACATCCACAATTACATGCTCAGTCACGCTCGGTGGCACCAGTTTTGAGAGCAGGACGGATTGCTGTGAGACAGACCTTCCCCTACTCTGTCTCTTGCGTGTTTCTCGATTTCTCTCTCATTTTGCTTCTGCCATCATCTCATATGAAGCTTGCTTGATTGGGCTTAAAATGTTGTTGACTCAAAAAGCTGCAGGTCTTATGGCTGCAACTTAAGTAAGATTAAGTAAACCCCACTACTTAATAATTTTTTTGCTTTCAATTCCTTTGCTAGAACCATACTTTACAACAAACAATTAACAACTAAATCGAAAATAACAAAAAGCATGTGATATAGTGCTTGCATTAAGTACACCAACATAAAAATATGTTTCACTTTTTATACAAATCCCCTATAATATACTTTTATGGCAAACACAAAATATAACGTAAGCAAGACAGAGAGGGGTAGGTCATAACTTCTCACAGTAAATAGCACTCTTGCCAACTGGGCAACCATTGCAGTACACAAACAACAAAACACAGTTACAAAGTTAAAACCTACAAGGTATAAACAAATAAAATTATTCTTACAATTTGTTTCTTTGTATTACAAAAGGCACAATAATTACTTAATATAAGATGATATCAGGCGAATTTATGTACAAACAAGTGATCTTCAGAAGCATATTTGGCACTCTAGAGTTGAGCCTTTTGACATTGCAGGTCATAATGCACCACCCGAAAACTGTATGCGAGGCCGTGGCGTTGTGATCTGAAGAGTGTCCTTGTGCATTAATTGCCCTTTACGTAATGATTTGGAAACATGAAATATAAGTATTTAAAACTGCGTGACACAGTAGGATAAAATGTAGAAATTATTACACACAATGAATTCAAGAATCAAGTATCATGGCATGCTACCTTGCCATTATGTCCCAGCTATGATCCAATTCACTAAACGATACATAAAATATTACATCTCAAGTAAAATAAACCTTTGACCACAATAAAATTTTCACAATCAACTCCAAATACAATGGACGCCATTGAAAAGAGACCAAATCAAAACTCAGGAAGATTAAATGCACGAAGACTTCACTGCAAGGTGTTAGTTACACAATGACCTCTCGAGCTATTCAGTTCAATCGGCAGCACGCACGCACACGCACACAGTAAGCAGGAAGGCAAGCGTAGGGACCCCCCTACAGCCATGTCAAAACATTGTCTGTCTTGCTAGTCGGGTGAAGAGGATGGAGAGGGTTGAGGGGGTTGATGAGGGCTTGAACATCTTCTAAAAAGTCATCACTTAACTGAAACAAAAAGAAAACAGCTTAGTTAAAACAATGCTTCAGAGAAACTATTGAAAAGGGAACTACAAGAGAAGATTTGATAGAGGAAGTAGAGGAAGGATAGGAAGTGAAAATTCTTTGAAACTGGTTCAACAGAGCTCAGAAACCAATCAAAACACAAACCATTATTTTAAATAGTAATAAAATAATGCTGTGCCGCTGGTAAGAAACCTGCCGATTTCAGCTTAGCAGATCCTACTAGAAGATTAAGAAAAACTATTTTGTACCAAAACCATTGATGATAATTGCAGAAGTCCACAATTTTAAAGCAAGGAGTCAACTCATAAGCTTAAGCTATTCACAGAGAACCACATTAGTAAGGTAGTTGCACTACGTATAGAGAAAGATGCTAATATGTATTACATAAATTGAAGAAACAAGACTTTACAGCCAAAACTTAAAATACTCAGCTGATTAATTATTAGCAGAAGAAAAGTAAAAAAAAACCAATCAAATAGTACTACAGCTGGCATGACAATCCTAACAATAGAAAACATTTCACCTGATCAAAATCCACTCCATTGATCGTCGTTTAGCAGATCTTCTTGAAACTGAAAAAATAACATGATGGAGAAAGAATCTCTTATTACCCTGAATTTGAAACTTTGCATAAATAGTTGCATAAGAAGTGGTCAGCTGTTGTCTTTCCATTCTACCATTGAAACAAAACCAGGAGTCACATGCTGAATAATTTGGTAACAGCATGATGCTGTTGCACCAGAGATAGTACCACATACACTCAATCATAATCAGAAAGAGACAAAAAAGGGGAGGAAAATAATTTACAAACTGTGCAGCATTAGTTTGTTATGGAGCAGCTTATTGACACCAAAGTTTCAAAGAATTTGAGGTAGGTTTTCGACATCCCACTTGTCGTGGGTGAACAGCTCAGCTTAAGTTAGAAAGCCAGGAGGATTTAGGTACATTTAAGGAATGTGGAGGGACTGTCATTAGCTCTGTCCTTACACAAAGTCAACATCAAAAGTAACTGGCAGCAGTACAGCAGTTAACTTACCTGAAGGGATGCTACCAAGTCGTCACTAGGATCAAGTGAGCTGAGATCTTGAGTATCTAAAGAAGGGGCACCCTCTGAAATAAAACAAATCAAAAAAGCATTTAAAAAACAGCTTAAAGATAAGAAACAAGGATAGAATCAAAATGATTGGATTTTCACATCCAAGCTCAGAGCAAATAAGAAGAAAGAAAAGAATCTAAGTTGAGCTTACCGCTAACACCATCCATGTTATCTTCCATGCTGTAGGTGAAATCAGGTGTGTGAGGAAGCGGTCCCAGACCAAGTCCGCTGTCATTTGATTCCTGTCGGGAGTGGTCAGCCAAACCAAGGAAGGGATCCATGCCTGATGTTGCAATGTCGTTTGCATGTTGGCGCATCAGCTCTTGCTGTAAACCAAAAAGCCCATATTCAGGATAAATTGTTCAATAAAAAAAAGAAAGAAAACGAAGAAAATGCAATTAAAATAACAAGAAATTGATTGATATCAGTCATAGGAAGTTACAAAGTAAGAAAGTTTGAACAACAAATTGAAATTGTAACAGGGTTAATTGGGTAATCACATAGGTTCTGAAAAAGAAAACAAACTCCTTGGAAAGGCCAAAGAGTTTGCTACTTTCTCAGCTATCATGTTGTGAGGCGCATCGCACAACACACATTATAACAAGAAAATAGAAAAGAACACAGAGATAAAGCGAGATTGGTGGTCCAAATGAAATTAAGAGCAGTCGGACTTTGGACCGCGGCAACCTTTGTCCATACATCATGAACAAAACAGGTCAACGCGATGGCGATGGCAGGGAGTAGCAACTATCTCCACGCACACCATCACCAGCCGCACGAGGCCGTCCGACCCAATGGGCCGAGGGGCAGGGGCAGCCCGAGGGGCAGCCCGAGGGGCAGCCCAACGCCCTCGTCGAGCCCACCCAGGCCAGGCACCAAGGCCGGGGGCGGCCGGGGGCGGACGGGGGCGGACGGGGGCGGACGGGGGCGGACAAACGATACTCACCTGCCGCATGATCTCCTGCTGCCGCTGCTTGAGCTTCTCGCACTCGAGGTGCAGCGACTGCAGGCGCTGGTCCGTCTGCAGGGACTGCAGGGACTGCGACTGCGACAGCGCCTGCCAGGTGCCCAGGGGCAGCATGGTGCCGGCCGCGGGGGCGCGCTGCAGGTGGCTGGGTATCCGCGGGTCGAACCACGACGTGCTGTGGGTCTTGTGGTCGATGTAGTAGATCTCGCCCTCGGGGGTGGCCGCCTCCTCCCAGCCGTCCGGGAGCGGGCCCAGGTCGTTCGGCGCCGGCGACGCAGGCTTGGGTGTGGTGGCTGTTGGGAGCAGATTGAGCACGGCGTGAGTCCGGTGCACCTTGTCGGCCACGAACCCTGTCGGAGGAGGCCTCCTCTCCTCTCCTTTCCTCACCTTTGGGGAGTGGCGAGGCGGCGGGGTGTGGGTGTGCGAGCGCGAGGGTGGGTGGGCTGGACAGCAGCTCCGCGCTGCGCTGCTGCTGGCGCTGCGCCTGGGCGGCCAGCGACTTGCGCGGGTCCTCCCAGGTGGTGGTCTGTGTCGTGTGACTGCAGGCAAGGCGAAAGCCAAAGGGTTAGACAACTGTCGTATGCCAAGCATGCAAAGATTCAGACTCAGAGAGACAATCGCCATAAGTAACTACAGCATTACTGGATGACAACAGATTTGTATCAGCGTTTATGCCTTGACGGACCAACGTGTGATACGTAAATGTGACACCCGTGGCTAAGTTTCTTTCTTTCGTTTGAAAGTAGATCGCGTGTGTGTGAGTGGGTGTCACTCACAGCCTTATCATTACTCCCACACGCACTAAGCACACGCTCCAGCCGCCGGGCCGCCGGCGTGCTATAGTAAGGCGCAGCGACGAGGCGCCTCGACAGCCCTAGCGGAGGCTGGCGGAGGCGCCAACGCATGCAGCCGGCCGCCTCGCCGCCACGCCCCGCCACGCCGCGCCGGCGTAGCGCAGCTTAGCGCTGTCGACGGCCGCGGCCGGGAGCGCGTCGGCTCGGCTCCGCGTCGCCTCCGCGTCGGCTCGGTTCGTGCGTGGAGTTGAGCCCGTTGAGCCGAGCCACTCAGCTACTCGCGGGTACCGTTCCCGGACGCAGCGACGCAGCCACTTTGCAGCCACTCTGCAGCCCGACAGCCAGTGAAGCCAGTGCGCAGCCACGCCGCCGCCACACCGCCGCACCGCCGCCGTAGCCGCTTGAAGGCCGTCCGCTGAACTTCGCCGCGCCCGGCCCCGCCGCGCCACCTGCCCCGCGCCGCCCTGAGCCCCCGCGGCCCCCGGGCCCCCGCACCGCGCCACGCCCGAGACCGACCGCCCGACCGAGGGGCCGAGGGGCCGAGGAGGAGGAGGAGGGGGAGGGGGAGGGGAAGGGGCCCCGCGCGGACACGCCAGACAGTCCAGCCAGTGGCATCCAGCCGTCCAGCCATCAGCCCCGCCACGCGCCCTGCAGGTTGCCCTGCAGGTTGCCCTGCAGGTTGCCCTGCAGGTTGCCCTGCAGGTTGCCCTGCAGGTTGCCCTGCAGGTTGCCCTGCAGGTTGCCCTGCAGGTTGCCCTGCAGGTTGCCCTGCAGGTTGCCCTGCAGGTTGCCCTGCAGGTTGCCCTGCAGGTTGCCCTGCAGGTGCCCGCGGTGCCTGCAGGTTGCCCTGGCCCCCAGGTTGCCCTGCAGGTTGCCCTGCAGGTTGCCCTGCAGGTTGCCCTCGGCCCCAGGTTGCCCTGCAGGTTGCCCTGCAGGTTGCCCTGCAGGTTGCCCTGCAGGTTGCCCTGCAGGTTGCCCTGCAGGTTGCCCCGCGGCTGGAGCATGCTGGAGCTGGGCGGAGCACGGACTGGTTGTCCTGGGCGAGCCTCCATCTGCCGCCAAATTCGAATCGCGGCGCGCCTCGGCCCCGGCCTTTCAGCAAAGAGTCGTCACATCGCTGTCTCTGTCGCACTCACATGGGGCGTGCGGCGGCAGCGAGAGAGACAGAGCGGCGCGACGATGCTCTTTGGAATGGCTTGGCTGGGCCCCGGCTGGGCCGCAAAGGGCACACCGTCGGCCGTCGGCGGGGCTTAGCGAAAGGCCCAGGGGCCCAGGGCTTGCGGCTCATCTTGACCGTCGGGTGTCGGGCCCTTCCCTTCTCTTCCCTTCCCTTCCCTTCCCTCGGCGGCGCACGCGGCGCAGTGGCCGACCTCTCGGCTCATTTTAGACACGCGACTGCCGCCCTGCCGCCCTGCCGCGCCCTGCCGCGCCCTGCCCTAGCCGACCGACCTGCCAAACCAGCGGCGTGGTGTGTGCTGCAGCAGCAGGGCCCAAGTGCATGGTTCTGGCCGACGACGACGTGGCACTGCGTGGCACGAACCAGGCGCACAGCGATATCGGGAAGGAGGTGGTGGAGGGTGGAGGGAAAGCCAGGCCAAGCCAGGCGAGCCGTCCTCCTTGAAGGAGGAAGAAAGACATGTCCGACGCCACGACGGGGACCATTTGAGCGTGGACGCGACAAACGGGACATCGGTATCAGGCCCCGGAGAGGGGAGGGGGCGGGAAGGCCCACACAGGACAGCCACAAAGCAGCAGCACCGCGACGGCCGCCGTGGTGGGTGCCAGCAGCCAGGAGCGCCACGGAGCGCCACCCAGGACTGAGACAACCAGCGCCGAGCACCGAATGGCTCCCACGATCCCAGTTCCGCCCAAAAGGCCCAACAGGCGATGGATTAGTGCGAGCCGCCCAGGCAGCCACTGCAGCCAGACCCTCCGTGCCACTCCGTGCGTGCTGCCGTGCTGCCCCCGCTCTGCTTCGCTCCCATTCATGTCCGCGGCGACGGCGGCGTGGGACCATTTCTGCATGGATGGACGTGCGGGCACAGGGCGGTGCGGGCCGGAGCTGGGCCGGCCAGAGCGGCCTCACAACGCTCGGCTTCACATTACATGGGGCCGCCAGCACGGCATCGGCCGCATCAGCCATCGGCCATTCAGCAAACGCAGAGGGCCACCAGAGATACGCAGAGGGCGCCACATCCGTCGTTCCTTTCCCACGCAGCCCGCGCAGCCCCATGGACCATCGTCGGAAAAAATAAGTGGACAGTTTGCTTCAGTGAAATCGCTTGTGACGCGGACAGGTTGCACTGGATTGGAGAAGTAATACTGCGCTTACGGCGAGCACGATATTACCGTATGCACAGCCTGCGTGGTACACATAATAGATGCACACGAGCGGGTGACTCATCGCCCACCCCGCGGGGGGCTCCCTGGGGCTCCGACCGCGGGGCCGCGGGGCTGGCCGCGCGAGGGCCCTTGGCTTTGCGCCCTGCCCTGCCCCCCCCCCCCCCCCCCACGCGGACACCGTGGCGGACACAGGCTCCGGCCCGTCCGTCCACAAATTCGGCCCTCTTCGTGTGCAATGAGGCGTGCGGGCGTGCCCGTCATTTCTGGTGGCGTGGCCGCATCGCCGCATCGTCGGCCCGTCAGCACCGCGCCAGCGAGCCAGCGTGCAGCACCGCGGCCTTTGTGACTGCGAATTACAGCCATTTACGACCCGCTGTAAGAAGTTACAGGAGCCGCATCGCCGCCATGCCAAGCCGTGCCATCGCCGGCCGCCGCGCCGTCGAACAAGTCCAAGACCAGGGGGGCCAGGGGGGCCAGGGGGGCGGTTGAGGAGGGGTGAGGGGCAAGGGGGGCTCCGCGGGGCCCAGCGCCGCACCGCGCACCGCGCCCTGCCCGGCACAGGTAGGAGAAGTGGCAACGCTGTGCGCCAGAGTAGAGCTTGAGGCTGTGCCGGGCCGGCCAGCGTGCGGCGTGCGCCAGCGTGTCGACGGCACACCAGGCACACCACGCTCGCGGCTCCGCGCTCGGCGCTTGGCTCGCGCTGCCCGTCGATACCAAACGATACAAGTCTGCTAACGCCGGCCAGCCGCAGACCGCTGACAACAGACGGGGCCCAACAGACGAACTCCGCCGCCTGGCGCGGCACGGCCGCAGCCCGCAGGGCGCACTCCACCTTGAAGGCGCCGCTGCCGTACGCCCGCCGCACGCAGCACGCAGTACGCGGTGTACGCGCCGCCCAGATAAGGGCTCCGTATCGCTGACGGATGCGCGCCGGTCGTCTTGCAGTGTCCGCCCGTCTGGCCGGCCGTCTCCCTTCCAGCCGTCGTCAGCAAACGCAAATCGCACCCCCCCCCCCTAGCGTTACACTGTAACACTCCAATCGGGGCGAGGTGACGTCACGCCGGCGCTGCACTCGGCCTGCCCATTTCCTTCTTCACGGCCCCTTTAATTTTCATATGAAGATGAGGGGGCGGCGCGGCCCCCGAAATGACGAGGGTCTAGAGGGCCCCGGGCCTAGGGCTAATGGCGTGCCCGGGGTGCCCCTCTGGGGTGCCCTGTAGAGCCGCAGGCCGTAGGGGTGGCCGCTGCTCGGCTGCCTCCAAGAGAGCCTCGGCACCAACAAGGCGGACAAGGCCGAGACCAGCAACGCCGTCCGACCCAGACAAGCGCTGCCCGCACCTTTGCACGCCACGCGGCCGAAACGCTTCCCGGAAAAGGGGTGTCCGGGTCCACCGTCCCGAGCCAGCGTCGCCGCCACCAAGGCGCACCTGAGCACGGCAAACTTAGCAAAGGCCGCCGCCAGCGGGGACGCGCGGACGTGCGGGCGGCACGGCGTGGCACGCCACTCCGGCGGGGGGTCGGCGACCCCTCCTCCTCCTCCTCCCTCCCGATCCTTCCGCTCATGACGCGGCCTGGCACTAATCCCCTGATTCACAATCCCGGCGAATCGCTCGGCCAGCCCACAGGCCGCCGTGCGCCGTGCCGCCACACTGCCAGGGCCCACCGCGCCTAACCGCGCCGATACGACCGCGATGCCGCCGCCGTGAGCATCGTTACAGCGATATTCACTCGGCGCGCGGACGCGACAGGTTGGGAAGGGGGGGGGCTGATCGAAGCATTCCTCGACGGCATTGTTCTACTTTCTTAATTGGTACCTACGATATTGATAAGCCCAGGAGGGCCAAGCCGGCCGCAATCAAGCCGACCACCGCCCGCCCCGCCCCGCCCCGCCCCGCCCCCGGCCAGCCTGTTGCTGCCATTGTTTACACTTACGCCTCGACTCGCCTTCTCGCCTTCCGCGGCAAACGCGCGGTGGCGGCGACGGCTCGACACGGCCCGGCCCCGACCGCCCCGACCGCCCCCGCGCCGCACCTGGGAACCCGGATCCCCCCTCCCTCCCGGTGTACCTGTCCGACCCCCAAATCTGACCCAAAGGGCATGCCACGCCTTTGTTGTCGTTTTCTTTTTGAACGGCTTTGCCTGCTTTGCCTGGGGAAGATGACGGGGCGAGGGCAGCCTGGGTAGCCCGGCCCGGCCTGTGGCCCGGTGCCCCTCGTGCGGTCCAGTTACACAGCGGTGCCACCCCGCAGCCCCGCAGCAAGCCAGTGGCGTAGCAGCAGGGCGCAGGGCGCAGGGCGCAGGGCGCAGGGCGCAGGGCGCAGGGCGCAGGGCGCAGGGCGCAGGGCGCAGGGCGCAGGGCCGCTCGGCAGGCCAGCCTTGCCAGCCATGCGGCAAAAGACACG